GAGACCATTTTTCAAATGCCACTTTTTTAAAAAATGCCACATTTTCAAAATCTTTGCAAAAATGCCACTTTTTTATAAAAAAAAAAATCGTTATATCATTTATGTGTGGGTTAACTATGTTGTATTAGAGTTTAGTTATGAAGGTTTAAGGGGGTTTTGGGGTCAAAAAATTGTTTAGGGTTTATAATTTTAAGATTTAGGCTTTTTTTTGTTGGTCGAATAAGATTTAGGCTTTAAAAATTCATAATTAGTGACATTTTTGCAAATGGACACCATCTCTAAGTGACATTCTTGCAAATGTACACATCAAAAAGTATTTTTGCAATTGCCCTATTAATTTATATCTCTCTAAATTAATAAAATTTTAAAGTACCAACAATTACATGTTGAATGTTTAAAAGCTCTCTCAAACAAAGTAAGCCAACAATTTGAAACATATACATGGACATATGTTTTCTTAGCATCAAATTGGTTTTTGAGATTCAAAATATGATTAAATAAATTTCTTGTAGTACATGGCAGCAAAGAGAAACCATTGATCCAAAAACAAAACTTTATCAATGTGTCACATAAATTAGACGATCGTTGTTTGTTATGTGATTTCTTATTCCGGGCCAATATATGGGTTTCTGTTGGGCCCAATGAAAACAATTCGATAAGTCCACTAGTCAATCTTTCTTCTGCCAATAACCAAAGAGCGAGCATTCCGATCATGCTAGGGTTTTGCGTTTCCTATATAATCACAATTCTCTCTTTAACTGCTCAAAATCATCTCTTTTTCGTTTGGGTTTTCTGATAGATCTGTGTGTGTTTTCGATAATGGTTTATATTTGTGTGTGGGTATTGTGAATTAGCGCTCCATTAATCAACGAGTCAACAGCAGGAGCCACTTCAATGGCGACCTGACTGCCGCTTGGAGCCTAGATTAAATTTTGCCATAGGAAGACCCATGAAACTAGTTTTCTCTCTGTTTCATGATTCAATACTCTTGGCTACAACTCCTCTTAATTGCATTCTTCTTTTGTGTGGTTTCTGATTTAGTTTTGTGAAATTGATTGATGCAAATGGTTTTTGTATATTGGCATTAAGTCAGACACGGGTGCTTGTTGGGTTTATAAGAAACAGCAGAGCTACCTTTTGCATGATGCCTATATTTTTAAGCTTCTTATCACGATTGGAGGTAGTCTTGATCTGATGTCTTCTAATGGCTTCCTCCAAATTTAAAGCAGCTAAATCTCTTGTCTTCACATTATTCTGGTCTTTTATTTTGATCTTGTTAATCTATAGATACCAATCAGATCTCTGAAATCTGGAGTTGAATGTACTGATATACAG